TTTCTTAATAAAACAGGGAAATTGGAAAAATCGCCACTTACCTAAACCGAGGTATAGTGGTGAATCGATACAAATATATAAATTCAAATAGAACTTTGATTATAACTTTGCTAAAAATTGACCTTTTTCATTCAAATCTTTTGTAAATAGTATAACTAATTGCTCCCCGTCTACTCCTATAGTTTTATTAGTATATTGTTATTGTCATATAATTAATTTTCTTGTTTTTATCATTTTATAGTAGTAAATTCATAAAGAAAAACATAAATTCGTCTATAAATTTGCTTAAAATTGGGTTTTTTCGTTCAAATTTTTTACTTAAATAGTGTAACTAATTATCCCTCATATTATCATATAGTTTTATTTGTAAATTTTCACAGTTCAATTATTAAGTTTCATATTTTTCGATTTCGTATAGTCGTAAATTTATAAAATTTTTAAAATTTTTCAAATCTTCCTTTTATTCGCTCTTTTTGCTCCTGTTAGGTCCGTCCCGTGTAGAAACCGCCATCTGCACTAAAATTTTCTTAATAAAACAGGGAAATTGGAAAAATCGCCACTTACCTAAACCGAGGTATAGTGGTGAATCGATACAAATATATAAATTCAAATAGAACTTTGATTATAACTTTGCTAAAAATTGACCTTTTTCATTCAAATCTTTTGTAAATAGTATAACTAATTGCTCCCCGTCTACTCCTATAGTTTTATTAGTATATTGTTATTGTCATATAATTAATTTTCTTGTTTTTATCATTTTATAGTAGTAAATTCATAAAGAAAAACATAAATTCGTCTATAAATTTGCTTAAAATTGGGTTTTTTCGTTCAAATTTTTTACTTAAATAGTGTAACTAATTATCCCTCATATTATCATATAGTTTTATTTGTAAATTTTCACAGTTCAATTATTAAGTTTCATATTTTTCGATTTCGTATAGTCGTAAATTTATAAAATTTTTAAAATTTTTCAAATCTTCCTTTTATTCGCTCTTTTTGCTCCTGTTAGGTCCGTCCCGTGTAGAAACCGCCATCTGCACTAAAATTTTCTTAATAAAACACAGGGAAATTGGAAAAATCGCCACTTACCTAAACCGAGGTATAGTGGTGAATCGATACAAATATATAAATTCAAATAGAACTTTGATTATAACTTTGCTAAAAATTGACCTTTTTCATTCAAATCTTTTGTAAATAGTATAACTAATTGCTCCCCGTCTACTCCTATAGTTTTATTAGTATATTGTTATTGTCATATAATTAATTTTCTTGTTTTTATCATTTTATAGTAGTAAATTCATAAAGAAAAACATAAATTCGTCTATAAATTTGCTTAAAATTGGGTTTTTTCGTTCAAATTTTTTACTTAAATAGTGTAACTAATTATCCCTCATATTATCATATAGTTTTATTTGTAAATTTTCACAGTTCAATTATTAAGTTTCATATTTTTCGATTTCGTATAGTCGTAAATTTATAAAATTTTTAAAATTTTTCAAATCTTCCTTTTGTTCGCTCTTTTTGCTCCTGTTAGGTCCGTCCCGTGTAGAAACCGCCATCTGCACTAAAATTTTCTTAATAAAACAGGGAAATTGGAAAAATCGCCACTTACCTAAACCGAGGTATAGTGGTGAATCGATACAAATATATAAATTCAAATAGAACTTTGATTATAACTTTGCTAAAAATTGACCTTTTTCATTCAAATCTTTTGTAAATAGTATAACTAATTGCTCCCCGTCTACTCCTATAGTTTTATTAGTATATTGTTATTGTCATATAATTAATTTTCTTGTTTTTATCATTTTATAGTAGTAAATTCATAAAGAAAAACATAAATTCGTCTATAAATTTGCTTAAAATTGGGTTTTTTCGTTCAAATTTTTTACTTAAATAGTGTAACTAATTATCCCTCATATTATCATATAGTTTTATTTGTAAATTTTCACAGTTCAATTATTAAGTTTCATATTTTTCGATTTCGTATAGTCGTAAATTTATAAAATTTTTAAAATTTTTCAAATCTTCCTTTTATTCGCTCTTTTTGCTCCTGTTAGGTCCGTCCCGTGTAGAAACCGCCATCTGCACTAAAATTTTCTTAATAAAACAGGGAAATTGGAAAAATCGCCACTTACCTAAACCGAGGTATAGTGGTGAATCGATACAAATATATAAATTCAAATAGAACTTTGATTATAACTTTGCTAAAAATTGACCTTTTTCATTCAAATCTTTTGTAAATAGTATAACTAATTGCTCCCCGTCTACTCCTATAGTTTTATTAGTATATTGTTATTGTCATATAATTAATTTTCTTGTTTTTATCATTTTATAGTAGTAAATTCATAAAGAAAAACATAAATTCGTCTATAAATTTGCTTAAAATTGGGTTTTTTCGTTCAAATTTTTTACTTAAATAGTGTAACTAATTATCCCTCATATTATCATATAGTTTTATTTGTAAATTTTCACAGTTCAATTATTAAGTTTCATATTTTTCGATTTCGTATAGTCGTAAATTTATAAAATTTTTAAAATTTTTCAAATCTTCCTTTTATTCGCTCTTTTTGCTCCTGTTAGGTCCGTCCCGTGTAGAAACCGCCATCTGCACTAAAATTTTCTTAATAAAACACAGGGAAATTGGAAAAATCGCCACTTACCTAAACCGAGGTATAGTGGTGAATCGATACAAATATATAAATTCAAATAGAACTTTGATTATAACTTTGCTAAAAATTGACCTTTTTCATTCAAATCTTTTGTAAATAGTATAACTAATTGCTCCCCGTCTACTCCTATAGTTTTATTAGTATATTGTTATTGTCATATAATTAATTTTCTTGTTTTTATCATTTTATAGTAGTAAATTCATAAAGAAAAACATAAATTCGTCTATAAATTTGCTTAAAATTGGGTTTTTTCGTTCAAATTTTTTACTTAAATAGTGTAACTAATTATCCCTCATATTATCATATAGTTTTATTTGTAAATTTTCACAGTTCAATTATTAAGTTTCATATTTTTCGATTTCGTATAGTCGTAAATTTATAAAATTTTTAAAATTTTTCAAATCTTCCTTTTGTTCGCTCTTTTTGCTCCTGTTAGGTCCGTCCCGTGTAGAAACCGCCATCTGCACTAAAATTTTCTTAATAAAACACAGGGAAATTGGAAAAATCGCCACTTACCTAAACCGAGGTATAGTGGTGAATCGATACAAATATATAAATTCAAATAGAACTTTGATTATAACTTTGCTAAAAATTGACCTTTTTCATTCAAATCTTTTGTAAATAGTATAACTAATTGCTCCCCGTCTACTCCTATAGTTTTATTAGTATATTGTTATTGTCATATAATTAATTTTCTTGTTTTTATCATTTTATAGTAGTAAATTCATAAAGAAAAACATAAATTCGTCTATAAATTTGCTTAAAATTGGGTTTTTTCGTTCAAATTTTTTACTTAAATAGTGTAACTAATTATCCCTCATATTATCATATAGTTTTATTTGTAAATTTTCACAGTTCAATTATTAAGTTTCATATTTTTCGATTTCGTATAGTCGTAAATTTATAAAATTTTTAAAATTTTTCAAATCTTCCTTTTGTTCGCTCTTTTTGCTCCTGTTAGGTCCGTCCCGTGTAGAAACCGCCATCTGCACTAAAATTTTCTTAATAAAACACAGGGAAATTGGAAAAATCGCCCTCCCACCCTCCCTGTTTTCATTACTTAGGTTAATTTTGCAATTTTAATTTATATTTTGTCAATATTTCTGCTTAATCTTTCTCATAGCGTCTTAATTTTATATCTTGTACTGTATATAACATAAAATACAATTATAATGGCGCCTGTTAATGGTGATTTGCCGATTTTGCCCGCAACAGCAGAAGAAATCACTAATGTTTCTAAGTATACGGAAGTTGTTAATAAATTGGTAGCATGCATTGTGAACGCTGTCAATGACGGTAGGAGTGTCACGACAGCCAATAAGCGTCTTATCACAGTTGCATCCGAAGAAATAAGGAGAGCAAACTTGGTTCTTACTAATATTACATCCACGCTGACTAGTCCCGCAGAGGAACTCAAAAATGATATTATCAGTTGTGTTCGTGAAGAAATGGCTAATTTCAAGAACTCAGTTAGCAGCACTAGTATGGGGCGACCATCTTACGCCCAAGTTGCTTCATCAAATGCGATTCAATCACCAAAGATAAACAACCATAGTGCTACTCTACCTGCAACCAAACCAGCGATAATCATCACCCCCAAAACAGACGTAAAAAATAAGCAGGAAGTGATAGACGTTTGGCGCAAAAGTATCAGCTTTCGTACTACCAGATATGCACCGGCTCGCGTTCAAACTGTGTCACACAATAAATTAAGGGTCGAGTTTGATAACGAACAGCAGCGTGACGAAACTCTAACACGTTTATTGAATTCTGAGGTAGTGACAGCTGAACCCGCACGAAAACTTAGGCCTATGATAATTCTGAAAGGAATTTCTATTGACACACCAGCTGAAGAATTAGTGGATATTATTAAAATGCAAAATTCTGAACTGTCTGATACCATTGCGGCACAGGATGATTTAAAATTTTGCTTTAAACGCACTAACAGGAACCCAAACCTATACAATGCAGTCTTTCGATCTCAACCCACAGTTTGGAGAAAAATCATTAGCATGAGTAAATTATCCATCGATCATCAGCGTATACACGTTGAGGAATTTTCACCATTTATGCAATGTCATAATTGTTACCAGTTTGGACACACAAAGAATAAATGCACCTCGGAAAACACTGCATGTGGTCACTGTGCCGCAACCACACACAAATCTGATAATTGTCCTAAAAAAGATAACCCGGACTGCGCTCAGTGTATTAACTGTGTCGCACATAATACCAAGTTCAACACAAAAATTGATACCAAACATAAGGCTACATCCACTTATTGCCCCAGACTGCGAGCCATAAAAGAGAGAATCATAAACCGTATAGATTATGGATCAAGTCAATAAACTCGAAGTATTACAGTGTAACTTAGATAAGTCAAAGAACAGTCAACATGAATTTATTCTCTCTTTTATGGCCGGCCAATTCCAGATAGCTTTGGTGTCAGAACCCTATGTTGGATCTGGCAACATTGTTAAATCCATCCCTGGTATCAACATATTCCAGTTTTCCAATGGTAACAGGGTTAAGGCGTGCATAATGACAAAATCTAGTTGTGGTTCCGTACTGGGTCTATCCCAATTTTCGTCAGCGAATCTTAGCGCGGTTCAATTAAATATTGGGGGCTGTAAACTATACATAGCATCTGTTTATATCGAACCTAATAGTGACGATCACAATACATTGCAACGGTTAGACAACTTTTTGAAAATGACCAGTAACTGCCATCAGCTTGTTGGAGGCGATTTTAACGGTTGGCACCCTATCTGGGGTAGCGACCGGGCAAACTCGCGGGGAAATGAAGTTGTTGACATCGTTTATGGCAATGACATGTTTTTGTGTAATAGAGGTCATACTCCTACTTTCGAGACAGTATCTTATGGGCGTGTGCGCAGCTCTTATATTGATCTTACACTTGCTTCTAGCTCTATATATGACCGGATTACAAACTGGAAAGTGGATCCTTCAATCTGTTTGTCTTCTGAACACAGGGCGGTGATGTTCTCTGTCACTACTCATGGTGAAAGGAGAAAAACCAACAAAACAACCAGTACGTTCAGATACAATACGAATAATATAAAATGGGAAGAACTAAGGCCTTCCTTTGAAGCCAAAATTAAGGAACATGTACCACAAAATGTTATGGTTGAACAGATGCAGCCAAATGAACTTGAAAATTACATAATCTCAGTTACATCGGCAATTCAAAAAACATGTGATGAGCTACTCCCAAGGTCAACTGGTCGAAAATACCGTTGCCCTTGGTGGACAGATGAACTTGAATGTCTCAAAAAACAAGTTATACGTAACCATCATAACATACAAAAACTGCGCCGACAAAATAAACCACTTGAAGATGCCCTATTGGAAAAAGAACGCTTAAAAACTGCTTACTCAAAAACCTTCCGTGAAACTTCCACGCGAAACTTCAGAGACTTTTGTGAAAGGCAAGGGAAGGAGGATGTATGGTCCGTTACAAACAGAATTATTAAATCAAGCCCACCTGCGCTACCACCAGCAACACTAAAGAAAAGCGATGGTTCATACACCACCACCAGTCTGGATACTGCCCAAGCTCTTCTTGATAAATTTTTCCCCGATGATGACCTAAATGATACAACAATTCAAGAAAATGCCCGAAATCTAGCAATTATCTCACCAAATACTCCAGATGAACCCCCTTTTACCTACGAAGAAATTCTCAGTAGCTTAAATAGTATGAATCCGAAAAAAGCACCCGGCATGGACCATCTTACTTCTGATATTTGCTTATTATTTGTCAAAAGCTTCCCAGATCTCACCACTTCAGTAATTAACCGTTGTTTCAAACTCGGATATTTTCCAGAAATTTGGAAGAAAGCTTTCATTAAAATTCTCCCTAAGCCTCACAAGGATGACTACCTAAATATCTCTTCCTTCCGACCCATAGGTCTGATTAATGTTTTTGGAAAACTGTTTGAAAAACTTGTTATACGAAGATTAACATACTTCATGCACCAGAACGATCTTTTTAATTCAGCACAGTTCGGTTTTAAAGAACAAACCTCTACCGTCAATGCATTAACCAATATAATAGACACAATCAACGATGCCATAGCCAATAAAGAACAGGTACTCGCAGTTTCATTAGATATCCAAGCGGCCTTTGATTGCGCCTGGTGGCCGGCAATATACCGCCGACTACATAAAATTAAATGCCCCCGTAATATTTATTCTATCCTGCGTAGCTACTTTCAAAATCGATCTGCAACTATCCATTTTGGAGACAGCACGGTTAGTAAAACTCTGACGAGAGGTTGCGTCCAGGGTTCGGTCTGTGGCCCCTTTCTTTGGAATTTAATTGTGGATGAACTTCTTGACATAGACATGCCACCTGGATATACATATACATGAAAATATACTAAATTATCCTGTATATACATGAAAAAAAAAAAAAAATATTTATAGAGATTAATCAAATTAATTTTCTACTTGTCTTAAGAAAATCATAAACAAAATTCAATATTCAAAAATATAATGCGAACCATTGTCAAAAGACTCAAATGTAAATGTTAACGATAAACATAGCAAAATGTGGACCAAATATAAATTCTCATTCAAACAAACGCTCAAAAACCATAAGGAATTGTATACCGATAGCAATTCCTCATGGGTAAAGAATAATTAAAAAAAAAAAAAAACCTAACCTAACCTAACCTAACCTAACCTAACCTAACCTAACCTAACCTAACCTAACCTAACCTAACCTAACCTAACCTAACCTAACCTAACCTTTTTTTTTTTTTTTTTTTTTTTCGTGGGGAAATCCTCATGGATACCTCCGGCTGCGGGGGCAACCGGAAGGTTATGCCGGACTCCTACCGGCTAAAACCCCACGGTGGTCTCCATCAGCGTATACGAGGGGTCCCGGGATCTCCGTTCGGAACACAACCGGGGCCCCTCTCTCGCTTCGCTTTATTGGAAGCACGTCCCAGGGGCAGAACTTACTACCCCCAGCACCCTCGCAGTGCTATCACGATGTCTCGGGACCACTTCCGAGCCATCGTCCTCCTCGGGGGTTACGTTACTAGGCATTCGAGGCCCCCGCTCCAAACGCCTGCAACCCCAGAGGCCCCGTTTCTGGTAGGGGAACACCATCTTCAGAGGGAGGGCCGTGACGAACGCCTTGATGACGTCGTCTCCGAGTGGGATCTGTCCTCCTCCGATCCCGCTCAGCAGCCTCCTTCTGGACCATTACGGACTCACAGAAGTTGGTTACGGCCCTCCACGCCGAGTCCCCGCTCAACATCGCCGACACGACTGCTGGCAGGGAGAGGTCCCAACCGACCCGGTTTGCCAGGATCATTCGCTCCCGTTCCCACGCTGGACATACCGCCAGCGTATGGGACGCGGAGTCCTGATCCTGTCCACCGCAGTGGAAGCAGTTCGCCGTCGCTTCGCGTCCGATCTTACACAGATAATCACCGAAGCACCCGTGCCCGGTAATTATCTGTGTAAGTCTGTAGGTGAGTCTTCCTACTCGTCGCTGCATCCAGGCTTCGAAGACCGGCAGGATTGCGCCAATAACGCGTTTGCGTGCATAGCGCTCCTCGTTAACCTAACCTAACCTAACCTAACCTAACCTAACCTAACCGAGTCCGGTGTCAACTGCTGTCCCGAACGCCACGTTTTTGAGTCGCTCCGCGCTTAAAAATACGTAAAAATAGGTTTTTTGCATCGGATTTTTACGTGCGATATACCAAAAGACGCGTCTCGTCGAGAGGTTTAAAATAGTTAAAAGTGTTAGAAAATCGGAGTTTTGCTTGAAAAGTTATTCGGAAAAAAGTGTTTTTCAAAAAGTGAAAAATCTTTAAAGTGGAACGCTGTGCGATTTAGCGCTTTGACCCCAACTTTTTATAGTGTGGTTCTAATGCTATAAGTGGCCCCTACATATGAACAAAATTTGAGATTTTTCCGAACCATAGTTTCGGAGAAAAACGCAAAAAAACAAGTGCCACGTGGGCACGTGTTTCATGATCCGAAATCGTGCGGCTACTTTTGAAGTCGCATTTCGGTAGCACACGTGGAGAAGAGCCTGGAGCAATTTTCGGAACAAAATTAAGTTAAGTGGTTAAAGAATTATTGAACTTTTAAATTTTGGCAAAATTTCAAAATTAAATTATTCAAAATCTAAAGTGAAGACCCCACATTTTTATAGTGCGGCTTTAAAGCTATTAGTGGTCCCTACAAATGTGCAAAATTTGAGATTTTTGCGAACAACAGTTTTTGAGAAAAACCCAAAAAAACAAGTACCACGTGGGCACGTGTTCGGTGATGCAGAATCGTGCGGCTGTTTTTGGAGCCACATTCTGTTAGCGAACGCGGAGTGGAGCCGGGAGCAGTTTTTTAAACTATTTTAAGTTAAGTGGTTAAAGAAATATTGGACTTTTAAATTTTCGAAAAATTTGTTTATTAAATTATTCAATAACGAAATTGAAGCCCTTGGTTTTTAGAATAAAATAGTGTTAAGATTAGTATATTAAATGTGTATATTTAAATTTAGATTTTTGCAATAAGTAGTTTTTAAGTTAGAAATTTTTTAATTTTTTAAATGACCATATGATACTTAATATTACATGTTAAAAATTTTAAAAATATATATTCATAGGAAGGATTTTGAGAATAACGTTTCAAAATTTTTGTAGATTTTTAAAACTAAATTTGGCCGAAAAATTCAAAATTTTCTAAAATATTATATGTTTTTTGTCTAAATTATTATTAAAGGGGGCTTTAATCGCCAAAATATTTACAAAACTTTAAGCTTGACACCGAGACTTTTCAAATGAGCCCAAACACGGGCCAAATCGGTTAAAAGACGCCCGAAATAGCCGTTTGCTGTTTGGACTGGCGGCCATTTTGAAAAGTTTAGGATCGGAATAACTCCTGTTCTAGGAGTCGTAGAGGACTGGGGTTTGGACTCTAGACGTTGGCAAGTAGTGCCGGAACAGGTAACCCAGCTTTCAGGGAATTTCAGCACCCAAAATTTTGATCCCTGAAAACCACACAAAATTATAGCCCTAGTCGAGCCCAGTAAGACGAGCCCAAGCACGGAGCTGTAAGCCTGTTCGTTCGGAAGTTACAGCGTGGAAACCGTATTTTGGCAGCCATCTTGTTTTTCAACCAGAACTTGAAAACGCGGTAACTTTTGAACCTATTGGGCTAGGTATACCGAGTTTGGGTTCTTTGAATAGGGCTCGAGGAGTACTTTTGGCCGGTTACGAGATACAGACTCTACATAGAGTCAAAGACCTGTTAGTCTATAACTCTCCGTATATGTAGTATTTTTAAGAAATTTTTAATATTTAAGACAGATCTTGTAGAAACCTTTAGTATAGAACCGATAGAATAGACGGAGACTGACTCTATATAGAGCAGTATAAAGATATTTGCTTTTGATTTTATTTTGATTCATTTAATTTTTATTACTTTTGTTATTTGTGTAGTTGGACTTTGTATAGAGTTTATATATTCAGTATATATTTAAAATTATAACACAAGAAATAGAGAACCGACAGACTTTAGGTAGAGTCAAAATAGACAACAAGAGACAAAACTCTTTAATAATTTTAACATTACAATTATATTGTACTGTGTATATACATAGTACATACATAAGTGACACACAGTAACGAAGGTAGAACTGTGACCCTACAAGAAGAAACTTTTATAAAAAGAACTGTGACGTGGTATTTGTGTGTCTTCGTTAATTGGAAAAATTCAAATACCGCATCCTTGTCAAATATCTACACAAAAATTTTAACACTTTTAAAATACTTTTATAACTTTTACAAACTTTAAAATTTTATAATTTGACAAACAGCTATTGCTGTTGTTTATTTATCTGTTTTAATTTATTTGCATATAACTTTTTATTTTACATTATTTTGTTAATTGTTGAGACCTAAGACGCGTTCCCCTGAAAATGTTCGGCATTCGTACACCTATCAAAAAGAATGAGGATAGTGCCAAGGACACGAGTCCTCAGGGCACTTCAAACGGGAAAGAGAAGGCTGGGCCTTCTCCTAAAACAGATAGTACAAAGCAACTCCCTAGCGTAAGAAGAAGTATCGGAGAGTGGGAAATGGGAAAAGTAGATACGGAGACTGTAATACAAATCTCACCAAAAAAGGTAGCCTCAGGAGCTCGTCAAAAACAGAAGGTTGTTCCATCTCAGGAAACAAGAGGAACAACTCGTAAAGTAGTAGTTGAGAATACAGAAAGCTCTCCCAAAATCGCAAATATAAAATATGCGGATCGTATAACAGAGGCTCGAGCCTGTCTCCAAAAGGCAAAATTACATCTCAACAACTCTCGAAACCTAAGGACCGACATAAAAATGGAAGTCACTCAGGCAGTAGAGAGACTCTATCAATTGGTGAAAGAGGCGGAAATAGGAAATAACATTGAGAAAGAAGAAAAACCTAAAGACCAGGAGAAGAAAGGAGATAAACTAGACGATGAAAGCAGGAAAAAGAAAGAAGAAGAACAAATCTTTATGAAGAAATTGGAAGAGCACGGGAAACTCTTAGAGGAAAGTAGAAAAGAGATGGAAAAGTTAAGAGAAGAAATGAAAAAGCAAGAAATTAAAGAGGACAGAGGAACATACGCAAGCATAGCGGCTGGACCACCAAGAAGTTCACTTTTACCTACACAGAACATGGCTATGCATTCAGTGATCATAACATCAAATGACGAAAAGGAAACAGGAGACCAGGTCATCGACAAGATAAGGAACGCTATAAACGCCAAGGAAGAAGGTTTAAAAATAGACAAAATCAGGAAGGCAAGGGATAGGAAAGTAATACTGGGATGCCGAACGGAGAAGGAAATAAATAAAGTCAAAGAGAGGTTAAAACAGGCAGGGAAGGATTTAAATGTGGATGATATAAAAAACAAGGATCCGCTCATAATTCTGAGAGATGTTATGCAGTATAACACTGATGAGGAGATACTAAAGGCAATAAGGATGCAAAATAAGCAGCTTTTTAAAGACATATTAGAGAAAGAAGATAGAATAGAAATTAAATACAGGAAAAGGACCAGGAACCCACATACATCCCACGTTGTACTGAGAGTCTCGCCCCAGATTTGGAATCATCTTACCGAAGCTAGAGTTATCCACATTGATCTACAGCGGGTAAGAGTAATGGATCAGTCCCCTCTTGTTCAGTGTTCGCGCTGTCTGGGATACGGGCACAGCAAGCGCATATGTACTGAAGCGACTGATGCCTGTAGTCATTGCGGAGGCCCACATCTCAAAGCTGAATGTGCCGACTGGCTGTCAGGAGAGACACCAGAATGTATAAACTGCAAGAAGGCAAAACACGATAGAAAAGATCACAACGCATTCAGCG